TGTTGAAGAGGAGGTTAAATTTGGAAATCAGGTTTTCCTTACATTTGGTCGACATAGTAGCAGCTGAAGAGGCAGTCATATTGTCTACATGTTCCCAATCCGATGTGGACATTATTGCCGTCAATGATAAGTGTGATTTGTAGAGTGTCTTGTCTAACTGATCTAGTTCTGTGCGTATAAGTCTGATTTTTTCTGAGATAAGAGCTAAGCTAGTTTTGAAAAGAATTCGTTTCGCATTAGAAGAAGTTACAGTAGCAGAGGTGAGTGTAAATGCGATTGGTATTACCCCAGAGTCGCCGCATCTCTTCAGGAAGGTGAGAGACTCGATCAGCTGAGCATTCTTATCCCGGAGTTTGTTGAAGGATCTTAAAGTTATGTGAAAACCCTCCCCGTAGAGGCGATTAAATTTTGATTTAAAGCTTTCGTGACTGCAGTAATTCATATTCTTAGTTTTTTCGGTAAAGTCACGTTGAAGAGAAACAACAAAATAACAAAATATATATAAAACAATAAAAAAAAAAATTCTCACGACGTTTCGACCATAACTCAAACGGTCATCATCAGGTGTGTCGGTTTGCATAAATGTATTTTTAAAACGGCACATTTATTTATTTATAAAAAACGTTGGCGTCACGCGCAGCGATTGGCAGTTTGCCCAGGACTAGTCCATCTATTTTTTTTTTTGAAAAGAGGAGGGGGGAGACGAAATTTTTTATAATGTATGCTGTCTGAAAGCCACTGTAAGCGTGAACAATCAATCAAGAACTGAAATGATTTATCAAATCTTTCCAATGATTGCTAAGATAGAATCCATCTTCTCGGTTGAAATTGTCTCTGTGCTTGTATATGTGGATAGCCTCATGAACGAATCTCTCATGGAAGCCAGATGGCTTACAAAGAACCTCCGTCTTGGAAAAGTCAATGGCATGTGAGCCTACTGAATTAGAACAATGATCTGCTACGGCCGAGGTGTTGGTCCTACCGTGTTTAAGGTCTGCTTTATGTTCACGAATGCGGTCCGAGACATGGCGTTTGGTTTCTCCAATGTAACTACTACCACAGAGGCAACTTAGTCTGTAGACACCAGGGTATTGTATGTCCGGAATCACATCCTTTACAGACGGAACCAGATCACGGATTTTATGTAATGTGTTGAAACGGACCTGGATCTTGTGTTTATTCAAGATTTTGGAGATCTTTTTTGTGATCCCAGCAATGTAGGGTAAAGTGATGGTTTTGAAAGGCTCCTCAAGAGGGTTCTTCTTCATGGTTTGAGTGATAGCTTTGCGGATTGTATAGTCGGAGTAACCATTAGCCCTAAGAGCTTGGTGTACGTGCTTGAGTTCACTGCTTATGTGTTCCTGGTCGGATATGCATTGGGCTCTATGATACAGAGTCTTGATGAGAGAATTCTTCTGTGATGGATGGTGGTGGGAATCCGGTTTCAGATAAGCATCCGTATGGGTAGCTTTCCTGTAGACAGAGTGGCTCATTGAACCATCAGGTCTCTTTTTAATTAGGACATCCAAAAAAGGTATCTTGGCATCTATTTCGACTTCCATGGTAAATCTGATGGCTGGGTGTATGGAATTGATGTGGTCGAAGAATTGGTCTAGAGCAGGCCGGCCATGTGGCCAGATGACAAAAGTGTCATCCACGTACCTCTTCCATAAGGTTGGGCGCAGAGTGGCCTGGGTCACATCGCTGCAGACGTAGCAAGATCTGAAATCGCTGCAACCCTCAAAAACGCTAAGATGCCAGCTAGCAACCTCAGCAAAGATGAGCGTTTTGAATTATATAAATTAAAAAAGAGGAATGATATTGTAGTTCTCTCAGCTGACAAAGGCAATGCTACTGTCATCATGGATAAAATAGAATACAACAACAAAATTAAAGAATTACTCGACGATGGTAGTTATACAAAAATAAAAAGAGATCCCACCAACAGCCTCGTCACACAAACCAACAAAATAATTTCTGATTCAACCGCATTAATTGATCAATCTAAACAGTTTTCGTTGAAACCTTCTGCTGCCAGGCCACCAAGATTATACGGCTTACCAAAAATACATAAAGTTGATACACCTCTTTGTCCCATAGTCTCTACTATCAGCTCCCCCACCTACAAACTAGCTCGTTTTTTTTGTCTGAAATCCTGCGTCCTTTCACTGGAAAGACCACCTCTGCGGTACAAAATTCTACTCACCTGGTATCAACAATCAAGGGTATTTCCCTGTCCCCAGACGGCCTGCTTGTCAGTTTTGATGTAGTTTCCTTATTCACCAAGGTTCCTGTACCTGACACCATTGCAATCATTGAAGACTTGGTTCATCAAGGACTAAACACCGAGGTACCCCCCCTGGTGAGACACTGTTTAACCAATACATACTTCACTTGGAATGGAACTTTCTACAAACAAACTGAGGGCACCCCAATGGGCTCCCCCCTTTCTCCAGTTATAGCTAACATTTTCATGGAGAAATTTGAGACTGACGCCATCCAGACTGCCACTCTGCGCCCAACCTTATGGAAGAGGTACGTGGATGACACTTTTGTCATCTGGCCACATGGCCGGCCTGCTCTAGACCAATTCTTCGACCACATCAATTCCATACACCCAGCCATCAGATTTACCATGGAAGTCGAAATAGATGGCAAGATACCTTTTTTGGATGTCCTAATTAAAAAGAGACCTGATGGTTCAATGAGCCACTCTGTCTACAGGAAAGCTACCCATACGGATGCTTATCTGAAACCGGATTCCCACCACCATCCATCACAGAAGAATTCTCTCATCAAGACTCTGTATCATAGAGCCCAATGCATATCCGACCAGGAACACATAAGCAGTGAACTCAAGCACGTACACCAAGCTCTTAGGGCTAATGGTTACTCCGACTATACAATCCGCAAAGCTATCACTCAAACCATGAAGAAGAACCCTCTTGAGGAGCCTTTCAAAACCATCACTTTACCCTACATTGCTGGGATCACAAAAAAGATCTCCAAAATCTTGAATAAACACAAGATCCAGGTCCGTTTCAACACATTACATAAAATCCGTGATCTGGTTCCATCTGTAAAGGATGTGATTCCGGACATACAATACCCTGGTGTCTACAGACTAAGTTGCCTCTGTGGTAGTAGTTACATTGGAGAAACCAAACGCCATGTCTCGGACCGCATTCGTGAACATAAAGCAGACCTTAAACATGGTAGGACCAACACCTCGGCCGTAGCAGATCATTGTTCTAATTCAGTAGGCTCACATGCCATTGACTTTTCCAAGACGGAGGTTCTTTGTAAGCCATCTGGCTTCCATGAGAGATTCGTTCATGAGGCTATCCACATATACAAGCACAGAGACAATTTCAACCGAGAAGATGGATTCTATCTTAGCAATCATTGGAAAGATTTGATAAATCATTTCAGTTCTTGATTGATTGTTCACGCTTACAGTGGCTTTCAGACAGCATACATTATAAAAAATTTCGTCTCCCCCCTCCTCTTTTAAAAAAAAAATAGATGGACTAGTCTTGGGCAAACTGCCAATCGCTGCGCGTGACGCCAACGTTTTTTTTTATAAATAAATAAATGTGCCGTTTTAAAAATACATTTATGCAAACCGACACACCTGATGATGACCGTTTGAGTTATGGTCGAAACGTCGTGAGATTTTTTTTTTATTGTTTTATATATATTTTGTTATTTTGTTGTTTCTCTTCAACGTGACTTTACCGAAAAAACTAAGAATATGAATTACTGCAGTCACGAAAGCTTTAAATCAAGAAGCAAATAGCCGTTGGGCTTTCCTGGTAAAATTAAAATAGTTTAGTTTAATTTGTATTTTTTAAGTGATATGTTGACCTCTCCTACCCTTTGCACTTCTATCGTGCGTTTGTATTGTTTGTTGTAACGTTCTGACCCCGTGCCCCTACTGGACGTCTGTGAAAGCTCATCGGATACCTCCAGTGTACATAAATATTCTGATTCTGATTGGATGTAACGGTCATCTGCAGCAGCACTGGACTCGCCATCCAGGGGGCGTTATAACAGGGTGCGTTTTGCGTTACAACGGTGCGCGTTTTGCGTTATAGCGGTGCGCGTTTTGCGTTATAATGGTGCGCGTTTTGCGTTATAACGGTGCACGTTATGCGTTATAATGGGGTGCGTTTTGCGTTATAACGGTGCGCGTTTTGCGTTATAACGGGTGCGTTTTGCGTTATAACGGGGCGCGTTTTGCGTTATAACGGGGTGCGTTTTGCGTTATAACGGGGTGCGTTTTGCGTTATAACGGGGCGCGTTTTGCGTTATAACGGGGTGCGTTTTGCGTTATAACGGGGTGCGTTTTGCGTTATAGCGGTGCGCGTTTTGCGTTATAATGGTGCGCGTTTTGCGTTATAACGGTGCGCGTTATGCGTTATAATGGGGTGCGTTTTGCGTTATAACGGTGCGCGTTTTGCGTTATAACGGGTGCGTTTTGCGTTACAACGATGCACGCTCCGCGTTACAACGATGCACTCTCCGCGTTTCCTCATGGAAGAACTGCGTGATAGATTAAACGTGTTATAGTGTGAATACCACCCGTTAAGCGAGGAGTTACTATAGTAACACCACAGCGGTCAATATCAGCGTTCACGCACTCACCCACCCAATCATTCAGCCACTTGCTCACCCACTCGCCCCCACCCACTCACTCACCCACCCACTCACCAACCCAACCACTCACCAACCCACTCACCAACCCACTCACCCACTCACCAACCCACTCACTCACTCATCCACCCACTGACCCACTCGCCAACCCACTCACTCACCTATCCATACATCCACCCACAAATCCATCCACTCACTCACCCAGATACTCACTGACTCGCCCACCTACTCACCCACACATTCACCTACTCACCCACACATTCACCTACTCACCCACACATCCACTCACCCACTCACGGGGAGGCACTATGAGTGAGCTGTGATTTGCCGAGTCATCGTGGCAGGAGAGTGAGTGAGTGCAGGACAGACTTGGACTTTGAGCAGAGACCCTGGGACCAGTAGGGGCTGACAAAGACATGGAGGAAGGTGAGCCAGAGAAACACGAGATATACACTTGTACAAGTACACATATGTGTACATACATGTGTATGTGTACACGTTTATGTACGTATGTATACATAGAAGTGTATGTGTATATATAGTGTAGCAGTTAGCGCATTGTGCTATGAACCCGGTAATCCGAGTTTGATTCCCACTCGCGACCATCAACACCAGTGAGGTTGACTCGGCCTCAAATCTGTGATGTGTGCCGTGCCGGCCTTCATAGGTGCTACTCAATAACAGCATTAACCCCAACGGTCTGTTAAGGCAATATGGGGATCATTGTTCGTATATATGTACATACCAAGGTTATTAAACGTGAACCAGTTACCACAATTGGGTACTGATTTCGGTGGATATTGAGTCACGAACTCAACCGGTGTGAGCGAGATGTAAGTACTGCACTCACCATCGCTTCACATTCCGTGCTGGGAGATTGAACCAAAACACCAACTCACCGCTGTGTTAGCCATTTACCAGACATTGTCTAGCAGTACGGTAAACCGGTTTTAACTGTTTAAGTGTTTGAATGCACTCTTTGTTTTTTTCGGTAAAGTCACGTATAAATAAGAAATAATAAAATAACACAATAGCGTACGACGTTTCGGTTGCAACACAAGCAGCCATCATCAGGTACAGAAGAGCTAAATTTATGAGAGAGGGGAAACATATAACCTCAGATGTATATACAGACACCCAAGTAGGGGGAGCTGACACAGATACAACAGGGGACACAGAGGGAGAAGCATACCAGACAAACAGGGTTTAGCAACATTTTGGAAACCATGTAAAGCAACACAGACGGTCGGTCAAAACACAATTAACGCATAGTCCGGTTGATCACGCTATTTCAAAGATTGCTAAATTGCAAGTTAAGTATGAAACTCAAAATACAGACCGCACACACACACACAGACATCCAAGTAGAGCGAACCAGCACAGAGACAAGCACACAGTAAAGTCGCCTTAAATAGGCAGAGAAGGTAAGGCTGAGAGACAATGGGACAAAATTAGCATGAGGTATGCATGGAGCAAAGTGGGGCGCGGCAGCACACAATGGGACAAAACAGCATGAGGTAAAGTGGGGGTCGGCAGCACCCACTCGGAAGCAACAAGGCCCACACACAGGCAGAGACAGCACAGAGACACAAATCCCAGCCAAGACACAAAGGCAGATACACAAGCAGACAACACAAAGACTGAACCACCTCTTCGGGTAGGTAAGAGGTCTGTGTCTTTGTGTTGTCTGCTTGTGTATCTGCCTTTGTGTCTTGGCTTGGATTTGTGTCTCTGTGCTGTCTCTGCCTGTGTGTGGGCCTTGTTGCTTCCGAGTGGGTGCTGCCGACCCCCACTTTACCTCATGCTGTTTTGTCCCATTGTGTGCTGCCGTGCCCCACTTTGCTCCATGCATACCTCATGCTAAGTTTGTCCCATTGTCTCTCAGCCTTACCTTCTCTGCCTATTTAAGGCGACTTTACTGTGTGCTTGTCTCTGTGCTGGTTCGCTCTACTTGGATGTCTGTGTGTGTGTGGTCTGTATTTTGAGTTTCATACTTAACTTGCAATTTAACAATCTTTGAAATAGCGTGATCAACCGAACTATGCGTTAATTGTGTTTTGACCGACCGTCTGTGTTGCTTTACATGTTATCCAAAATTTTGCTAAACCCTGTTTGTCTGGTATGCCTCTCTCTCTGTGTCCCCTGTTGTATCTGTGTCAGTTCCCCCTACTTGGGTGTCTGTATATACATCTGAGGTTATATGTTTCCCCTCTCTCATAAATTTAGCTCTTCTGTACATGATGATGGCTGCTTGTGTTGCAACCGAAACGTCGTACGCTATTATGTTAGTTTATTATTTATACGTGACTTTACCGGAAAAAAACAAAGAGTAATTCCTGCAGTCACGAAAGCTTCAAATCATGTTTGAATGCAGTTAACTAGCACAGCTGTGAATAGCAGACATGCATACCAGTACTTCTGTGAATACCAGACATGCATACCAGTACTTCTGTGAATACCAGACATGCAAACTAAACTTCTGTGAATACCAGACATGCATACCAGCACTGCTCTGAATACCAAGCATGCATACTGGCACCACTGTGACTACCAGACACGAATACTGGCGCGATGGGGGTGAGGGTAAGTGACGGTGAGTGTGTACATATGGAGGAGGTTCATGCAGGAGGCTGCTGGGCAGTTGGAGGCAGTCGCCCTCCAACAACAACGGAGGGCAGAGGAGTGACGCTTACAAAAACAAGCGAAGCACCGCGTGGCTAAAACGCAGCAAGTTGGTACAGTAGGGGGCATAGCTGCTGCATCTCCCAGTCAGTCAACCTATGGCACCTGGGTCTGTTCCATGACCTGCCAGCGAGCCTTCAACACTTCAAATGGCCTCGGAGTGCACTTAGCCTGGCGCAAGCACCGTGGTGATGTCACCACAACTTAGTGGCGAATGGCGGCTGTTGTGTGTACGGACGGCATATTCTTTGTCTGCTACAACAGAGGTGTAGAGAATTCCAACAAGACCTACATCTCTGTGTTATTGACCTGGTCAAGGCCTGTAAAACCATCAGTAGGCGAGGGCTCTGGGTTTTTATTCATGCTTTCGGAGTCCCAGACCATCTACTCACAATCATTAAGGATCGTCATGATGTTGGGCAGGCCCGGGTAAAGTTGCCTGGACCGGAGTCGGAACCATTCCCTGTTCACGTTGGAGTTCAACAGGGATGTCCTCTGGCTCCCACATGATTTAACATCAACTTCAAGCACGTAATTCGAGAAATCTTCCATAGCCGTACCAGTGGAATATCTATCTGGTACAGATAAAATGGGAGTCTGATTGATGCCTGGGTTCGGTCAAGGGGTGGCTCCCTACTGGTCAACCACGTTATGTATGCTGATGATCTGGTGGTTGGTGCTTACTCTGAGAAGAAGTTGGAGGTTCTGCAGCTGAACCTGGAGCTTGCCACGAAGAGGTGGGGCCTTACCATCAGCCCCACCAATCTTAGCACCTGCCTGGGTGTTTTGTATCATCCAATACTCCATCCCCTCCACTCCCCATGAGTGATGGGGCAGTTGTAGAGAGAGTGGAGAGTTGTCCATACCTGGGTAGTGTGCTTATGACCAACTCAGTTTTAAAGCAGAGGACTCACTCCGAATCAGTAGAGCGGCATTTTATTTTCATCATCATCTGCGTAACGCTGTGTGGAAGCTACCTGGTCTGTATTCTATTCTATTTATATAGCACCTTTCCAGGGCATCTTACAATGCAAATCGACGGCGGTACACAAAGGGGAACAAGGGGAGCAATGGGTGTGGTGGAGTGGCTATCAATGAGGAAGGTGATGGAATGGATGGAGGGACAGGGGCTGATAATGGAGCTGATGTTGCAGAGGTAGGCTAAGGAGAAATAAGGTAGAGTGTGATGGTGAATATGGGTGACAGATGGGTGCAATGTGGATAAGAGGCAGCGGGTTATTGGGCACATGCGTGAAGTGGTAAGATAGATAGGTGCTATATCTGGGCATGGATGAGGGTAGGTGAAGGGTGGTAGGGCCAGAGGTCTGATGGCCGGATGGTTGAGCTGATTGAGGAGCACAGCGGAGGACTGGAGGAGAGGTGTGGTTAGATGCACATAGAGAAAGCGAGACGTGAGAGCCGGTTCAGGAATTAGGGTCGTAGGACCAAGAGGACCGAGGGACTGGGAGTGGGATAGAGGGGGCGGGGGGGAAGGAACCGGTAGGGGTGGAGGCAGTGGAAGACAAAGAGCAATAGAGAAGAGAAAGCACCTGAGGGCAGAGTGGAATGAAGAAAGTGAGGGTAAGAGTCTAATATGAGGGAGCTTTTTTCCAGTGCAACGGGGCAAGAAGAGAAAAAGAATGGAAGCGAGACTGGGTGCAAGGAGGTGAAGGAATAGTAAGAAAAAGGGAATATTGAGATGGGAGTGTGAAGGGACGTATAAATAATTTGAGAGGAGGGGGTGGGGCAAGACCGTGCAAAGCTTTAAATACTAGGGTGAGGAATTTAAAATACAGCGGTGATAGACAGGAAGCCAGTGGAGTTGTTGAAGGAGAGGGGAGCAGTGACATGTCTATGGAAGGTTGGATGTAGTGCGTGCAGCTGCGTTTTGGATGTGTTGGAGAGGGTGTACCCAGGGAGTCCGACCAGGAGTGAGTTGCAGTAATCCAGACGGGTGAAGACAAGGGAGTGTACGAGGAGTTTGGCAGTGGCGGTAGTGATAAGGGGGTGAATTTTCCTGATGTTGTACAGATGGTAACTGCATGTGTGAGTGGTATTGGCAATGTGAGACGTGGAATCTAAGGTAACACCGAGAGTACGGGTGGTAGAGTTTGGGAGAGGCTAAGAGGGGGTAATAAACGGAGGGTGCAGAAGGGGGTGAGCGAGAGGATGGAAAGAAAAGCACCGAGGTTTTGGCCCTCGCCAGCCGTGCTCTCAGAGTGAGTGCCCCTGCGTGTCGGGCCGGCACCACCCCGCCGACAGTACAGCTCAGTATGAGAGCCGCCCAACTCAATCATTGGAGTGACACATCTGTAGAGGTATTATTGGGCGCGATGCGTATTCTCCAATACAGTTAGCCGGTAGTACCGGCCACGTGCCAATAGGCGGCAGAAGAGGGGCTGAGCCCCCAGTGTTAAGGGACAATGGGGTCCACGGGATCAACGGAAACGGTAGGGCCAGTGGTGCAGACCCCAGACCCCAAGAGGGGGCTGGGGGATGACATCACCCCCAGGTCCTGCTGGAAGGTTCCAGAAGGAAGCTGTGGCCGGGGCGGAGTGAGCCACGGCTCGGTATAAAAGCCGGACCTCTGAACGGTCCTGGCAGTCGTTCGTCTGAAGATTGAAGAAGCCTCCTGAAGAGAAGAGCCCAAAGGGCAGGGCCGAACCCCTGGCCAGGATTGGCTCAAGCTTATACCAGTGAAGACCCAAGCTTCACTCATGAGGGGTGAACATAGCCAGTGAGAG